CGTTCCAGGGGGCTTCACAGTACTCCCCCCACCCCCTGGAATTTCCATGATTTTTCTACTTGGGCCCCCCCTACCCCTTGGAAATTCCGTATCCATAAAAAACAAGACTTAACCCATTAATTGTAATAAAATTTAGCTGCAGCTGTTTATAGTTACATTGTAGACAAAGACATACTTTTTCATGGTAGACTGCACACGCTGCGCATTCCTTCATGTTGAAATGTTTGAACCAGTGTTTAAACTAATAAACAAGTGACTTAGAAGCGCTTCACTCCCAAATGGCATAGCAGCTGACTTTTTCTTCATTAAAGGAAGTTTTCATATAAGAATCTTGGAACATACATAAAGCTCTTTCAAATAACCCAGTCGAAGTTTTAATTTATGCATGGTCAAAACAACATATCAAATTTCTTTACACACGCAGTAAGTCGTCACGCAACATTTTTTTCAAAACAGCTGTTTCCCAAACGTCGCTTTATTTTTTCTTTCATCAAAGGAATACATCAATTAAGTTATACACTTTGTCTCTGTAGTTTGTAAATGATAGTAAATTCATTTTATGCCTTAGGATTTTGAATTGTCATACATTTCATGTGTGAAACACGCATTGTTCAGTCGGTCTATAAATGACCAAATGAAATCTCGACTACCGCTTCAATTACAACGCCCCTCACTATCCAGGGTTACATATATAGTTCAAGACAAATGGCTTTGAATCGACTTTGCTCACTTAAAGCAAACTATTAACTACACCGATAACGATGAAAAATATGTGATAACCTAGTTACGCAAGTCTGAAATGGGGAATAATTTTGTACGAGTATCAAACGAAATAAACAAAGTACGAATCACATTTAATTGAGGGCATGATTAATGCTGGAAAAAACATCTGAGCTGCATTTAAGCTAAATACAGCACGATCTTCAAACATGCTAACATTTATTTCTCAACAAATGTAACATTTCTGTTGGTTTGGTTGTAGCCTGGATCAATTGGGAAAGTACAGTAGTGTTCATTCAATCGCATTTCAGACCGACTGGAAAGAAAACTTCTTGAGTAGCCCCCCTCCCCTTTGGAAATTTACCTCTTTCAGACCCCCTACCCCTCGGAATTTCCATGACCCTCCGTGGGGGGATTTGGATATTTTCTGGAACTAAACAATTGACTCATTGACTTGTAACACATGACTAAGGCTCATTTGACTCATTAAACAAGAGACCTCTGCACGTTTATGAAGTTAACCTGTCCAGATAATTATTTCAGAGAACTATGCAGACAAAAGTAGTGAATCCAAGCTGGGATGATACAGAAAGATGGGATGACAATCTCCTGATTGGACCAAATAATAGGCATAAGTCAGAGTTGACAAAAACAATGGTTTGACAGATGGAGCAGTACTGTACTTCATCAGCTGCACTATGTGTGGTTTCCGAAAGTATCCATACCACCCCAGCAGGGTTTTTTTCTAGTTTGAACCCCCTCCCCCAGGATTTTCCATTCCAGGGAGCTTAATGGTACTCCCCTACCCCTTGGAAATTCCATAACCACAAATAACAAGACTTAAGCAATTTATTTTAATCTCCTAGCATGGGTACTGTAATTAAATTTAGCTGCAGCTTTTTAAGGTCACACATGGACCGTATAGCAGCTGCCAGAGGCGCCAATGTATGCTTTTGGTTTGACCTTGTTGAGCTGCGTCGTTGCTGTACTTTGCGACGGCAATTAGCAGTGACAATTATTATTATTATTATTATTATTATGGTTACATTGTGGATGAAGAAGCAAGATGGCATATTTTTCACAAATAATAATATTATTCATGTAAACCTTGATGACAATAAATAACCAAATGAAATGTTTGATGCCGCTCCAGTGCTTCTCCCTGTTCATGCAGTTAGACATACTACAGTTTTTGGACAAATGGCATTGAATCAACTTTTCTAACTTTAGCAAACCATAAACTTCTCTAATAACAATGAAAATATGTGATAACCTAGTTACGCCAGGCATAGTCAATCATTAAAAATCGATATCGGAAATCAATCGATAACAATTGATCACAATCGATAACTCACAGAAAAATTTCTTTATTGATTACTATCAATTAACAAAAATCGATATAACAATTGATAATTCCTGTCTTCAGGAATATCGAGTATTATCGATTTTAAGAAAATCAACAATAACCACTTGGACTATTCAAAGTTGGCTTTGTTATTGTGTAAAATAATACATGGAACAACATGAGACGTTCCTTCTCAGCATGCTTCTAGATTATATTTTTCTTTTGGCCTACTCCGAGGTCTATTCTTACCTTTGTTTCCTAATGCAAATAACTGAAACCACTAGAACACTGACTCTATAATTTGTTTATTCTGCTTCATCTTAATGCCGACATTACAATGAGACTGGTGGGTTTTACACTGCAACTCTGGACTAAGCTTCTTCCAGTGTGGTAAACTAGTAAAGTAAGATGTAAAGCCCAAAATGTTTCTACCAGTTGTTTCTGTTCTTGTTATTTTGTCAACGATTGTAAAAGATACACAGGCTATGATATATTGATTTAATAAAACCATTATAGACAAATTTTGTCAAACATTTTATGAGTGTTACTTGTATAAGGTCAAAAATGATTTTGATAACAATCGATAATAGTCGATACCAATCAATGAATCAATCATTGTTGATTACTATCAGCAATCGATATCAATCTTCTATTGATTGTCACTAATCCTGTTCCAGAATTATTTTGCATAAATTAAAATTAGTGTAAAATTGGGGTTCACAAGCCTACATAACTCCTTTGCTTTGTGACATTTATGCATTTATCCAACTGAAATGTACAACTGAAATGTTAGACATTCTGGGGCTTGGCACAAACTTCTCGTGGTGTGTTAACCTTTGAGGGGGATAAAAATACCTAGTTTCTATAACCAAGGGTTTCACTATAAAGGCCAAGCACCAGGCAAATTGACCGGCTGTGAACAGAACTTTGCCCGGCTGCTTCAACAATATTTACACGACACTGGTCCTGTTCTGTTGGTGCATAGAACTTATTTTAAGTCAAAGAAACCAGGATTTGGGTGGTTATAGTATTCATTATTTCCCCTGTATCTTCAAATTGGGGAGTACATCTGTCCATATTGATGCATTGAGAAAACAAATGTGTCAAAATTATGAGAAAATCCACCTCTAATTCTGATGGATTTAAATTATGATTTAGTTATCTACAAAAATATTTTGCAGACAACTGAGCAGTGCCGATTTTATGGTCCAAATTGCAGGAAAACCCATCTCTGCAAGTGTAGAATTCAAAACTTTTTCTGGGGGTGCATGTCCCCAGACCCTTCTAGCTAGTAAAGGCCCATTGGGCCTCACAGATTTTCTGCCCAGATGTCATATCCAGATCCCATACTGTTAAAAATTTTATTGAAACCCCTAAACAACCTCTGCGATATTTGGAGAAAATGATCAATTGACCAATAGAAGACAGGAAATGTGCTAGGTAATCCAGATTAGTATAACAACCAATCAGCATACGTTCCTAATATTCTGGGAACTCCACCTGGTGTGCATCATTACATAGAGGAGGAGGGGAGGGGGCAGATTTACACAGGCTATCAAAAATCAAAAAGATGAAGAAATGGGCATGAACTGCTTCCCATATATATTAGACAGAACAAGACAAAGTGCAAATTTCAATGGTGTTGACGTTGGGATTGATCTATTGAGCATAAATTGAATGTGTGCAGCTTTGTTGGCAGGGATAGGCCTAGGGATAACCCTTAGATGAGTAATAGAGGGCTATCTCTTGACCCTTCCAGAGGGGTAACTCTTCTAAGAGGGTTATGTTCTGCTCATGTTAACAGGCCCTGATGTAAAATTAGATTTTCAGCTTCTATATCCATCACACCTCAAAAATTAATACAATTTTCTAATAATAATGTTACAAGACAGAGACCATTATCTTAACTTACCCAGAGGAAGCTGTTGCCATCTTATAAATTGTACAATATGACAAATTACATGTCCTTGACCATCACATTAAACAGCAATGCCTAAATAAAAAAGTACAAATGTAAATTATATAAATGACAATCATCTTAAAAAGCTAATTTAAAAGCAATTTTCAATTAATGTGTAATACAATAAAAACCTATTTGAGGGGTTTGTGGTACTGCAGTATTGGACAATTTTCAGATCATGTGTATTTAAGGCACCTGTTGACCGATACTCAACCGATACTGTTGGCACAGTGTCAGCTGAATTACGTTTATGCAAGGTCTGGAACCAAGAAATCTTCAGAAAGCACACGGTCACTTGTTAACCTCTTAGCGTGTGGTAAGGGATGAACCTCTTTTACAGCTTCTGAATCTCGCATCAATACAAAGACAAATTTCTGTTCAAATTTAACCAAAATCCCTCTGCAGGAAGACGAAAGGTTCAACTTAATATCCGAGGGCTTGTTTTGTCTGAATGTTTCCAACTGTACAATATCTTGGCATCATTTTAAAATCTATGATTCGGTCGCATATCTCTGTCAGTTCAGGGAAACAGAAGTATGAGTGTTTGACTGACATGCGTAAGACAGAAGTATTAAATAAGACTGTTTGTCTTGATTGGATCTTGTCAATTCCAGAAGTTTCCTCATTTTGTTCCGGAAATGAAATAATCAATAAAATAATCATATCTTTGCTACTGATATGGCTGACATCAAAATAAAGAAGGTACCACCAGCAGTCGACCGATATACCACCAATAGTGGACCGATATACCGCCAGTCAAGGCGCCAAGTCTGAGTGTCCACCGATAAACTGACCAAGTACTAACTGGCATGTTGAATGTATACGAACTACAAATGTTTGTCCAAGTTCGTCCAGACAGATAATGCGTCTTTAGTATAAAAACAGCCAATGTAAATATATATTGACATCCAAATATTTGAGTATATGCCATGGATGTAAAGCCTCCCACGCAGACACTCTTAGGGCTCATCACACATTCCTTCCCCACAGATGTCTTTTCAATGGACCGGTCACTTCTGTTTGCTGGTGGTTAGCCAATCATAGCTTCGATTTCAGTCTCTTCCTATCCGTGGAAAGCTGGACTTTGACCCTACGCTTCAACAAGAGAAGTTTGTGCCAAGCTGCAAAATATCTAACATTCTCACATATATACAAGTTGCACCAGCAACTACAGATGTACAGAGTCTTTTAGAAATACCGGCAACTGATGAGATCTACATGGAGGATCGAAACCATGGTCTTGCCTGAACTAAGCCAAACAGTGGCATATACAACATGCAAAACAGTCAACAGACTTGCACGTAAACAGCTAAGTTTGAATCATGTGGTGCCAAGAACAGACAAATGAGGAATAAACCTATACATCAAGCTCAAGAGATATAAGCTCAATCAGATTGATGGAAAACACATAACAACCGTCAAACTGATGGAAAATACATAAGAACAAAGCAACGGCATCTCCAAAGAAAAACTGGATGAGAATAAAATGTATATTTAATGTGATATCCTTGATAAGATGCAACCTACTGTACTTGCAGATAGTTCTAATAAAACAACCAGGCCTGATGCCACAATATAGAATGCAAGTAAGCAACATGACACGGAAAATTTCATATTTTGCCTCTCAAAAGCAAATACTTAGAGACTTAAAAACATATCTTACAATAGAAATGAGCCTAAACAATGCATAAGCAACTGGCAAATGACAGAGGTGTCAACTCTGTGAAGTGACATGCAGATATGTAACAGCGGATTGGTTCTTTCAAAACAAAGGCTAACCAAAGGCGAACAGAAGTGACCATTCTGTTGAGCAGACGTTCGTTGAGAAGGAATACGTGACAAGCCCTAAGAGCATCTGCGTGGGAGACTACCATGGATGGGGCCAAAATTAAGGTGTCAAAAATCACATATTTTGGTGTGAAATAGTTAAAGTATGGTTTGAAGGGAAGTGCTTGTCAAACCCACACCAGGAAAGGACACTGTCCGCAAGTTTACAGTTCCTAAAATCGTAACATTTTCAAATCATATATAAGTTTACATTATAATTTAATTTCAAGTCAGAGTCAGTGTGAAATGATTAAGTAGAACGAACTTAAAACGAGCTAGGCCAGAACTTAGTTACTTCCGGGACAAGCTAAGCTGAGGAATGAAACTCATTTATATCATAACAATATTTTGATCTTTTTTTTTAGCATGGATTAACCAGTAGAAATACTCATGTTTCAAGTTATATTTCTAACTGCAAAGAGTCAGAGATCAGGGTTTTTGATAATAATGAAGAAACACATCCCAGATCAACTCCTCTATTAGCTACGTAAACAGTTCGTTCCTGGCTCATCCTTAGCTTGTACCAAACGGTCTCTTTCAACCATGGAATAAACAAGATCCCAAAGCAAACGGAGAATCTACTTATCATCTCTAGACAAACTTACCGCTGAATTAATGCTCAATACTACATCAATTACTTTCATCTTATGGAACATTGGAGGATAAGGTCTACAGATACTCGAGATCTTTCGACGCCCATCTTTCAGCTCGTCCTATAATCACGTGACCCATTTTCCTCCCCAGGGTCCCCAAGAGCTTGAAACCGATGGCAAACAAGAAGATCTGTTAGATCTTATAACCGCGCTTTTAAAATTTAACTGTTTGCTTAGCACTACCGTCGCAACACAGTGCACATTCCAAAGCAG